TGAAATAAAGACATCATCAGACAAAGGAAAACTAAGACAAACCAAAGCCAGCAGAATTGCCCTCAGAGAACTGCTAAAGAAAGTATTTCTGACAGAAGGAAATGATTTAAGAAGGAAACGTGGAACATCAAAAGTAGAGGAAGACCAAGAGAAATGGTAAGAATCTTGATATGTGTGTTTTCCTTTCAAATTCTTTACAATACAGTTGGTAGTTAAAAGTGAAAAAGTCTAACTTTGATGGGATTTTCAGTGAATGAAGATATGACCATAGCATAAACACACTGAAAATAAGGTTTCTACATTCCTACTGAAGTAGTAAAATATTTCTCAATAAACTAAACAATAAACTTCTCAATGAAAAGTATGTGTTTGTCAATCCCTAGAGCAACCATTAAAATAAATTATAAAATAATTATACAAAAAAGGCCATATATAGCCAAACTTAGCAGAGATAAATTAAAATGAAAAGAAAAAAAGCTCCAGAAAATCCAGAGAGGGCAGAAAAAGGAAAAGAGAGGAACAAAAAGCAGAGAACAAACAGAAAACAAACAGTAAATGATGGATCTAAATCCAAACATATCAATAATTACTTCAATGTAAACAGTTTAAAACACACCAGTTAAAAGACAGATTGTCAGACTGAATAAAAAAAACATGACCCAACTCCCCTTACATCTATCAGAATGGCCAAAATAAAAGAGACAAGAAACAACAAGTGCTGGTGAGGATGTGGAGAAAGAGGAACCCTCTTGCTGGTGGGAATGTAAATTGGTATAGTCACTGTGGAAACACAGTATGGAAGTTCCTTGAAAAATTAAAAACAGAAATAACATATGACCCAATAATTCTACTCCTGGGTATTTACAAAAAGAAAAAAAAACAACCTAAGTTGAAAAGATATATGCACACCCTCCTTGTTTTACTACAGCATTATATACAATAGCCAAGATATGGAAGCAAACTAAGTGTCCACACATAGATGAATGGAAGGAGAAGATGTGGTATATATACCACACACGATGGAGTATTACTCGGCCATAAAAAGGGATGAGATCTTGCCATTCGTGACAATGTAGAAAGAACTAGAGGATATTATGCTAAGTGAAATAAGTCAGATAGAGAAAGACAAATACCATATCATTTCACTTATATGTGGAATGTAAAAAACAAATGAATAAACAAAAAGAAGAATCAGACCTATAAACACAGAAAACAAACTGACTATTGCCAGAGGGGTGGGGGCTGGGAGGATGGGAAAAATGGGTGAAGAAAAAATGAGGTAAGGGAAGCAGGAGATAGAGGCTTCCAGTTATAGAGTAAGTCACGGGAATAAAAGGTACACCATAGGGAATATGGTCAATGATACTGTAACAGCACTGTATGGTGACAGATGGTAGCTACACAGGTGGTAAGCATGGCATGATGTAGAGATACTGAATCACTATGTTGTACACCTGAAACCAATGTAACCTGTGTGTCAACTATACTCAAATAAAAGTTTTTTTAAAAAGATGACCCAACTATATGCTATCTATAACAAACTAAATAGGTAGGTTAAAGTAAAAGAATGGGAAAAAAATATACTCTATATCATGCAACCAGTAATCAAGGGCGCCTGGGTCACTCAGTCGTTAAGCATCTGCCTTCAGCTCAGGTCCTGATCCCAGGGTCCTGGGATCGAGCCCCCCATCGGGCTCCCTGCTCAGCGGGAAGCCCGCTTCACCCTCTCCCACTCCCCCTCCTTGTGTTCCCTCTCTCGCTGTGTATCTCTCTGTCGAATAAATAAATAAAATCTTAAAAAAAAGAAAACTCAATAAAAAATACATATCAAAAGATTTGAGCAGATACTTCACCAGATATACTGATGTCAAATTAGCACACAAAAAGATACTCAAAACTTTTAGTCACAATGAGATATTACTACGTATCTATTAGAATAGCAATTTTTTGGGGCACCTGGGTGGCTCAGCTGGTTAAGAGACTGCCTTCAGCTCAGGTCATGATCCTGGAGTCCCAGGATCGAGTCCCGCATCGGGCTCCCTGCTCAGCAGGGAGTCTGCTTCTCCCTCTGACCTTCCCCCCTCTCATGTACTCTCTCTCTCTCATTCTCTCTCTCAAATAAATAAATAAAATCTTTAAAAAAAAATAATTTAGAATAGCAATTTTTTTTTAAACTAACAGTACCAAGTGCTGGTGAGGTATGGAGCAACTGGAACCATCATGCTTTGCTGGTGGGAATGAAAAATGACACAGCAACTTTGGAAAACAGGCAGTTTCTTAAACATACACTTACCACAAGACCCAGCAATCCCACTCCTATGTATTTACCCAGGTGAATGAAAAGACTTAGGTGCACCTGGGTGGCTCAGTCAGTTAGGTGTCTGCCTCTGGTTCAGGTCATGATCCCAAAGTCCTGCTCGGAAGGGAGCCTGCTTCTTCTTCTCTCTCTGCCCCTCCCCCAAGCTTGTGTTCTCTTGCTCACTCTCTCTCCCAAATAAATAAATATTTTTAAAAAGTAAAAGTTTATAGTGGCTAACTGAATAAAAATTTTTTTTAAAAATAAAAAAAGTTTAAAGAAATTTAAAAGAAGTAACCTTTCAGTATTCATAGTAATAGTATTATTTAATATTATTAATATTAAATCCTAAAACTATTATCAAAGGATAAACAAGTAAATAATCCTGCTACTGTGGTTAGGAACACAAGATTCTTTTTTATGTAAGTAAAAAGCAGTACACATACAAAATCAAACAAATTAAAATTAAAACCTTTAATCGTAAAGTGGAACAGAAAATATCAACATGAGTATATAATCAAAAAAGCCTAGAAACAATACCAACTCAGTAGCAACTCAAGTACTGACAAAACTTATCGTCATGCCCGGTGGCAAACAAAACAGTTAACGGTCTAACTCCATTATCACAGAAGAAAGCAATGAAAGGTGGACTTGGAGCTAAAAGCCAATAAACTGACAAGCAACAAAAGTATATCAATAAGAATAACTACAATAGGGGCACCTGGGTAACTCAATCGGTTAAGCGTCTGCCTTCAGCTCAGGTCATGATCTCAGGGTCCTGGGATTGAGTCCCGCATCGGGCTCCCTGCTCAGTGGGGAGTCTGCTTCTCTCTCTCCCTCTGTTCCTCCCCACCACCCTCCCCTCGTGCTCTCTCCCTCTCTCTCAAATAAAATCTTTAAAAAAATTAACTACAACAGAGTAAAACACATCTAATGCATTTATGAAACTGTAACGATAATTTAAAATGAACAAAAAAACTAAACCTCATTGGTGATTAATGAAAGATGTTAGGGAACCAGCTCATTACTTTGAAAACTAGCGAACAAAGAGAAAAAATTGAGCACTTATTCTCTTTCCTGTAAGAACTCTATCTCAGGATAAACAAATAATCAATTAGGGGGATTTTTCTTTATGAAGTATTCTATCTACTAAATTTAAGAAGCAATGATAAAAACAGATGAATCACCATTTTGCAGCCCCTTGTGACATAAAAGCTCCAAGCAATTATTATCAATGGCTATTAAGGCCACAACGAGAGAGACAATTGAGCATTATGTGCCTCCTGGTAAAAATATTCAATAATTACCTATGACATATTCTCGCAAAAATTTAAGCCTCAATCTGATCAAGCCTCTGTATCAAAATAACAGTTACAGAAAATTCAGGACCAGAGAACAGGTTGAATGAAACCATGGAGATGCAATCAGCAAAATCCAAAATGTGAGAGATTCTACAGGACAACAACCTAGTTCCTTCAACAATAAATTGCAAGGAAAAGAATTACTTTGAACCTATAGATTAAACGAGACAAATCAACCTTGAAATGTTCAAACTTACATGGATCCCAATTTTTTTTAAATGATAATTGAAGAAATGTGAGCACTAGATATTTGATATTAAGGAATTAATATTAATTTTAGATGTGATAATGATATATGTTATTTATGTGTTTAAAAGAGTTCTTTTTAGGGGCGCCTGGGTGGCTCAGTTGTTAAGCATCTGCCTTCGGCTCAGGTCATGATTCCAGGGTCCCGGGATCGAGCCCCACATTGGGCTCCCTGCTCAGTGGGAAGCTTGCTTCTCCCTCTCCCACGCCCCCTGCTTGTGTTCCCTCTCTCGTTGTGTCTCTCTCTGTCAAAAAATAAATTAAAAAATCTTTAAAAAAAATAAAAGAGTTCTTTTTAAAGACACATACAAAAATACATAGGAATGAAAAAATATTAATAATAATTATTAGAAGTCTGCTTCAAAATTATCCAGTGGGAGTAAAGACAATGAGTGGAGCTGAGATGAAACAAAACTGGCTATGAAATTAAGTAGCAAATGGGTACATGGGGGTTTCATTACATTATACAATTTGTTTTACTTTGACATATGCTTGAAGCTTTCCAAATTAAAAGTTTTTCTTTAACCTGCCTTCATAAAAACTATAACAAAATCCCTTACACTTGACTGAAGTGTCTGATTCAATTTATGTATCTCCCAAATATATTTATATGTTCACACTAAGCTAAGGCCTTAGGACAAAAGAATGATGTTAATGGTATATTTTAAGGAATCAGCAAGTCAGAGAAAAATTTTATTTCAAAAAGAGAAACATTCCCAGCAATCTCAAAATCAAATGAGACACATAAAGAACCAACCAATTCTACTTGCTTTTCAGTAAGCATCTGGGTTTGAACATGATCTGCTGTTACAACAGATGACTCCTAGATCACCTCGGTGATTTCCTGCCTAGTCACCAAGAGTAAGGTGGGATTATACTATAAGGCTGACTTACCAAATTTACAGTCTGTACTTTCAAGTCTCTAAAATGTTTTGAAGTTCACCAAAGGATAAATAAAAGTTGAGTTTTAAAATTCTAGTCTTTTACCAGATACCTAAATGTTTTCCACAGATAGAAAAAAAGAAAACTTTTAAAACAATTTAGAACTGCTTTAATACTATTCAGAAAGTATTACATAGAAAAGCAGATTTACATACCTTGCCTGGACTGTGAAGGTGTTACAGGAACTTCTTGGTTTGGCTCAAAAGGAAGTTCAGGTGTTAGGTTTTCAAACTGCTCTTTACTAATGAGATTTAGCTTCTTAAAGTTCTCAACTTCTTGCTGAAGTAGAATGGAGGAATCTAATTACTAAACTGGCTAGTAGAGTGACCAGCAAACAATAATTGTTACCAATCTCAAAAAACGAGTTTAACTACAACAGAATAAAAAATTTCCTAACAATCTAGCATTATACTTATTAACAATTAATGTTCAGAATCTAAAAGAGGAACAGAGAACCCCGAAGTCTTATGAATATTATAATTAAAATACATTATAAGAGCATACATTCTAATCATTATTTGTTGAGCATTTACACACAAGTCCACTAGGGTATTATAGAGGTTACAAAGTAATCTAATAATGTATGTTCCCTACTCTTAAGGAATTTACAACTTAGATGGAAAAAAAGAAAGGTACACATAAAAATTAATAATATTAGGCAGCATATGAAAAATTGTTAATATTTAGTATAAGAATTGAGATCATCAGGGAGGCATCACAGAAGAGATGGGACAAGAATGAGAAATTTAGAGAAAGGGAAAAGCATTCCAAATCAGGTAATGCGAGCAAAGATGAGAAGCTTGGAATAAGCAACCATTTATTAGAAAATAATTCAGTTAATGAGATGTGTAGAATCAATGGCAAAAAGGCCTGATACAGAAATGGGAGAAAGCTATTAGAAGACCTTTATACCAGGCCAAGAAGTTTTCACTTCATTTTCTAGTAATGGGAAACATGTGATGATAAATCTAGATGGCCTTGGAGGCTCATTTCCAAACCCCATTTATAAGGTTAGCAGCAAGAAGGCTTAGTAGGTTTGAGTTTTTTGAGCTTGAAGGAAGAACAGGCCATCCCTGCCTCATGGACTGCTGAAGCTTCCCCTTTCTAACAACTGTTACATAGTCACTTAGATGTTCTCTGCCCCAACCTACATATATAGAGAGGATCAGAGAGTGGAGGTCAGTCTCTAGTGTAAGGTCATTTGGCCATGGTGCATGACGACCATTCATGCCTGGCCTAAGCTGTGAAATAAAGAGTTTGAGAGACTCCCTGCACTCTACTACTTTTTGTTAAGTTTCCTCTAATAAACCCTATATCACACCTACATCACTCAGTGCTAATGGGTCCATGACCCATTACAGAACAACATCCAAAGAGGATTTTAGCAGGTAAAAAACATAACAAAACTGTGAGATGGACCAAACTAAATATCATCATTACAAAACAGTCATAGTACCTTGCTCTTAACAGCTAACCAAATAATCTTTCCCTTTTGCCTTCAAACATGAATAATTGTCAGCTCACACCATTCATTAGATCCTGCTAGTCTTTTAAAAACTAGGATCTATCATGTTTTCATGAAAATACATTTAATGATTACTTCAGGGGCACCTGGGTGATTCAGTTGGTTAGGGGTCTGCCTTCGACTCAGGTCATGATCCTGGGATGTTGGGATAGAGCCCACATCGGGCTTTCTGCTCAGCGGGGAGTCTGCTTTTCCCTCTGCCTGCTGCTTCCCCTGCTAGTGCTCTGTCAAATAAATAAAATCTTTAAAAAAAAATGATTACTTCAGCTTTTGTACCTATACCAATACTGTGTTCCCAAAAGTCTTCAATAAGCTCTTCAAGCTAATTCAGAGTCATTACTCCTCACGGTCCCTTATCTTATTAGCAATTCCTACTAAAAAAAAAATTACTGTTATGATTATCATATGCCAGAGATAAATAATATAGTTCTAACCTGACGGGAACAGACCTCTGTAACTACCATTCAGGTAAAGATATTACCAGCACCCTAGAAGTAACTTCATGCCCCTTCTTGTCACTACCCTCTTCGTCTCCCTAAAGACAATCAATTAGCTGACTTCAATACTACAGGTTTATTTTGCCCGGGTTTGAAATTTATAAAAATGTAATCATAATGTATGGTTTATTGTATGCAAAATTATCTTCATGAGACTCCTTTATAGTTTGTAACACTACACCCAGAGGTTGGCAAACTACAGCCCCCAAAGGCCGAACAGGTCTTTGTAAATAGTTTCATTGGACCACCGCCATACCCATTTGCTTAACGGCATGTTTGCTTCATTGCTGCAACTGCAGAGTAGTTGGCATAACGTATGACCCATAAAGACTAAAATATTTACTACGTAGCTCTTCACACAAAAAATTTCCTCATCCCTGCTCTATGGTATTCTATTGTATGATCACACCATAATTTTAAAAACCCCATTACACTGTTGACAAGCATTCAATTCCTTTTCAGATTACAATTACAAATAATGTTGTGATAAATATATTTTTACAAAACACTTCTCTTGCTGACAAAGATATACATTTTTTAAGATTTTATGTATTTATTTTAGAGAGAGTGGGGGTGCGGGGAGGGAGAGAGAATTTCAAGCACACTCCGTTGCCTGATGTGGGTCTTGAGCTCATGACCCAGAGATCATGACCCAAGCTAAAACGAAGAGTCAGGATGCTCAAGTGACTGAGGTACCCAGGTACCCCAAAGAACACATTTTATTGAATGTTTACTAGAACTGGAATTGTTGAAAAGGGTGGTATGCTTCAACTTTAGTAGAAAATGCCAAATACTTTTTCAGAGTGGTTGTACCTATTTATGTTCCCACTAGCAATACATATTGTTCTGCATCCTCACCAACACTTGGTATTGTCAGTTTAAAAAATATGTAGTCATTCTAAAAGGGACCAGACTATGAATATATACAACAACTTGGACGGACCTCAAGGGCATTATGATTAAAAAATACCAATCTCGGGGCACTGGGGTGGCTCAGTCATTTCAGCATCTGCTTCAGCTCAGGTCATCCTGGGATGGAGTCCTGTGTCAGGCTCCCTGCTCAGCGGGGAGCCTGCTTCTCCCTTTCCCTCTGCTGTTCCCCCTGCTTGTGCTCTCTCACTCTCTCTCTCGTCAAATAAATAAAATCTTAAAAAAAATATCAATCTCAAAAGATCACATGCTCTATGATTCTATTTATAGAACACTACCAGAATGACTATAGAGATGGAGAACAGATTAGTGGTTACCAGGGGTTAGGAACAGTGAAGGGGAGGCACATGAATAGTGTCTTGACTGTGATGGTAGTTATATGAATCTACACGTGATAAAATGACATTAAACTATACACACACGGGGCACCTGGATGGCTCAGTTGGTTAAGCATCTGCCTTCGGCTCAGTCATGATCCCAGGGTCTTGGAATCGAGCCCAGCAGCAGGCTCTCTGCTTGGCAGGGAACCTGCTTCTCCCTCTCCTCCCTGCTTGTGTTCTATCTCTGTCTCTCTCTCTCAAATAAATAACAAAATCTTTAAAAAAAACTATACACATACATTTGTGATAACAAATGTCAATATTCTGGTTTTAATACTGTGCTTCAATTATGTAAGATATAAAGTTTGGAGGGAACTAGGTGAAGGATACACTGGACTGCTCTGTACTATATTTCCAACAACCTGGAACTCTATATCTCAAAATAAAATCAAAACTTTAAATATATAGCCGTTCTGGTAGATCTATGTGTAATCACATTATGGTTTAATTTTCATCTTTCTGATTACTAATACTGCTAAAAACATTTAATATGTTTTATTTGGATAGCCTCTTTTGTGAGGTGACTATTCAATTCTATTACTCATTTTTTAAAGATTTTATTTGAGAGAGAGAAAGATAGCAAGAGAGGACAAATGGGGGGACGGGGGGCAGGGAGAGGAAGAAGCAGGCTTCCCGATGAGCAGGGAGCCCAACACAGGGGTCCATCCCAGAACCCTGGAACCATGACCTGAGCCGAAGGCAGACACTTTACTGACTGAGCCACCCAGGTGCCCCCAATTCCATTACTCATTTTTCTATAGATTTCTTTTTCTTATTGATTTATGAGAGCTCTTTATAAAATGTTGTAAATGTCTTCTTCCACTCTGTGGAAGAAGGAACTTGCCTTTCACTCTCTTATGGTGTCTTTTGGTGAAAAAAGTTTTTTAATGTAATGCATTTTATAAGTCATTTCCTTCATTGTGTAATTTCCTGTTTAAGAAATCTTTGCACTGTTGCTGGGAATGCAAACTGGTGCAACCACTTTGGAAAACAGTATGGAGGTTCCTCAAAAAGTAAAACCTAGAACTACCCTATGATCCAGCAATTGCACTATTTACCCAAAGGATATAAAAATACAGATTTGAAGGGGAACATGCAACCCAATGTTTATAGCAGCATTATCAACAATAGCCAAACTATGGAAAAAGCCCAAACGTTCATCAAGTGATGAATGGATAAAGAAAAGGTGGTAAATATATATACGATGGACTACGACTCAGCCATAAAAAGAATGAAATCTTGATATTTGCAACAACATGGATGGAGCTAGAGTGTAGAATGCTAAGCAAATTAAGTCAGTCAGAGAAAGACAAATATCATAGGATTTCACTCACATGTGGAATTTAAGAAACAAAACAGATGAACATAGGGGAAGGGGGAAAAAGGAGAAAAAAAAAAAAGAAGAGAGGGAAACAAACCACCAGAGACTCCTAATGATAGTGAACAAACTGAGGGTTGATGGAGGAGGTGATTGGGGGATGGGCTGGATGGGGGATGGGCTGGATGGGTGATGGGTATTAGGAAGCACTTGTGAAAAGCACTGGGTGTTGTATGTAAGTGATGAATCACTGAATTCTCCTGAAACCCATATTGCACTGCATGTTAACTAACTAGAATTTAAATAAAAATTTCAAAATAAATAAAAATTTTTAAAAAGGAAATTTTTCCCCTTTCTATAGGTGCTATATATCTTCCCTTTCTAATTTTTCATCTGATTGTGAAATTAACATATTCTACTGTTAAAAGTTTGGGGAGCAAACTTTTGGGGAATAAAAGCAAAAAGCAACACACACACACCTTTCCCTACTCAAATATCATATAGATACTATCCCATCTTTTAGAAATTTTATTATTTTGCCTTTCACATTTAGAATCACAATATATGTAGAATTGATTCTTTGCATCTGGTAGGAGGTAAGGGTCAAAGTGCAAAAAAAATGTGTATTC